CTTGTAGTGATCCTCTTGTTTTCAGCCTCCTCTGAGTAGGGATTATAGACGTGCACCACCACGCCTGGTCTTGGTGGCCGGCTCAGCGCATCCCGGGGGCGGAGCCGGTGGGACACATGGTGCCAGGGATCAAACCGAGGTCCCTGAGCTTGCCAGGCAGGCGCTTAGACTGCTGAGCTATCTTGCTATCCCTCAGGCACTGTCTTGGTCTTATGAGTTTCACATGATGTTTGAGATAAAATGGTCAAAAATTTGGAGGGTGTCCAGATCTGCCTGGCTCTTGCCTTTTGGTCACCTGTTGGTATTTTATAGTCATCATCCCAGGAATAACTTGCCACATTATAATCTCCAGAGTAATTAAATTTGGTCTTAAAAATACTAGCTGCAAGCCAGACATGGTGGCATACACCTATCACCTTGGTACTCTGGGAGACTGAGTCAAGAGGATCATGAATTCAAGCCCAACTGGATTCAGTGATTTAGCAAGCAAAATCTTGTCTCAGCACTGAAAGATAAATAAAATAAAAGTGCTGGGAGTGTAGTTCCGTGCAAAGGCTCTGGCTCAATATGGAATACTGCTGAGCCAAAAGCAGAACACCTTGCTTTATGCAGCGTTACAAAGTGATCTCCGCCAAGCTCCTCATGTTGGTCTAACATGAGTAGCAAAAGTTTATGGCTGCCCTGAGTTCGCTCATTGCCCACCGAAATGTAATTAGAATTCAATGAGAACAAGACTAAGTATGTTGTAATCACAAACTGCAAAGAATTTTCTGTTCAAAGGGTGAGGTCTGAGAGTAAGAATTGTTTAAAAAAAAAAAAATATATATATATATATATAGGTCAGCGACATCAGTTTCCTGACCATATCCAGACATCCGGGTGCTCTTGTCTTTCGTGAGTGGTTTCTGTGCCCCAAGGAGAAGCGACATAGTACAGCTAAGATGTGGGTCAGCAGAGTGAGTGCTTTGATCCTGGGACTCTACAGCTATTTGTAGGAGCTGCCACTTCCCTCTTTTGAAATCTGTTTCACTGTGATTTTTACCTTTAATTATTCAATAAATGCCATCTTCCCACAGCCTGTGCTGCCGGGGTGGTGTTCTGATACTCATTCATCCTTTACTGTTTGTGATGTAGGTGAATTGAATTTTCCTAAGAGCTGAAGGTTAAACCAGAAAGGGGTATAGATAACTTAGGAGAATAATCTCACTATATTGCTTGCAATTTTCCAGCACCAGTTGGTGGAATCTTTTCCTTATTATAAGAATGGTTGACCCTGCAAGATGAAGAGCCACACTAGCTTTTCAGCTTGTACATGATGAGAGGAAGAGTGGGTCATGGTTCTGTAAGGCGGAGTGACATCCTTGGGTCTGTGCCTCCTCGAGGCCTGAGCTGCATGTCTGCCCTGAAGCCTTCTGGGCTTTCTCATGCTGGCTTTTGTACACAGGTTTATCTTGGAACCGCTCCCACCCCCACCCATTAATTTTGTGCTTTTAATTATTTATGGTCTGTAAAATAATTGGATCAACACATACTTGCCAGGGAGAGTATGATTCAGGCCCTTTGGGGTATGGAGGCCCTTTGGTGTATGCAATTGACCCAACCCTTGTCCTCATGGAACTTGTAGTGTGGGGGGGAAGACACCATCCATAGATAGATGTGTGGGGAGAAATCCTGGCCATCATGAAGGGAGAAGAGGGAAGGGGAGCCAATGAGACCTATTCCTAGTCAGAGAGAGGAGGATGGCCTGGCACCCGGAGGGAGTCCTGTCTGTTAATGTTTCTGCATTTTATCCAGAGTCATGCAGGAAGTGACTGTGAGTTTTACACTGGTGCTGAAAGGCCCAGATTTGGGTGTGCAAAAGTATGAGAGAGTTCAGCAGTGTAGCTCCGGAGCCAGAGGCTCATGGGAGTGTCAGGTTTCTCAGTTGTTGATGCTGCTTCTTCCTTCCCAATGCAAGTGTTGGCAGACTTTGTGCAAAGGGCTGGGTAGTAAATCTTGGGAGTCCAGGGGTGTGTGTTATACGGTCTTGTGTGGCAACTATCCAGCTCTGCCACTGTAGTGTGGTGACAGCCACAGGCAACACCACTGTGGAGATGTGGATTGATTGCGTTTGCTGGCCCTGACTGGCTGTTCCCATCATTACTGAGGGAGAGCGGAAATGCAGACTGTGTGGCAGTTCCCTGGCCTGGAGCTACTTGTATTCATTAGGGAAAGATAAGTATACACACTTAGGGGCCGTCAACAAACATGACAAGACAGTATATAATTAGGAACCACCAGCGTGTGCAGAAACAGGAAGGGCGATGGCGAGTGCCTCCGTCTGGTTGGCATCTGGGTGTCTTCAGCTCCAGCCTCTGAGTATGTGCTTATTGAAGCCAAGGTTGGAACCCTTGAGTCTTCCAGGCACCCAGATCCCCTGTGGCCACCCTTGGTGCATGTTGGGAGCAGAGCCAGAACTTTTTGTTCCTGCTCTGGGCTTCCTTATGGGTCAGATAGACTTCTGCGCTGCCTACCTGCTGCGCTTCTTGCCTGTGAGTTAATTTCTGCTGCTCCACCCTAAAAACCATTTCAAATCATCTCTGTAATCAGGAGTGTTGATACCCACCTATAATTTGAGCTACTCAAAGGCTGAGACAAGAAGAGCGTAAGTTTGAGACCAGCCTGGACAACCTCCTGAGACCCCTCCTCTTCCTCTGTACTCTCAGTTCAACGCGAGCAGTGAGTACTGGATTTGCTTTCATCTGGCCCATGGCAGAGCCTGGTGAAGGCTGCAGGGACACCCAAGACTTGATCATCACCCTGGCCTAGGACGTGTTAATCCGTGTTGGTCCGTGAGCTTGTCATATCAGTTGTCCCACAGCTGTCACTCCTGATGTCAGCTCCTGTGTCATTAGCTCTGTTAAGGAAATGGACTTGCCCTTAGTGTGGGGTAATTGAGGTCCACTTCAGCCTCTCAGGACTCATAGATCTACCAAAAGCAGCGGGGAGGTGGAGGTGCGTCTGACTGGATGTGGTCCTGTGCTGCTGCGAGGCCTGGACATTGGGGTGCTCCAACGCTTGGGGTCTGGAAGTGCATGTGGGGGCGGGGGGAGAGGAGGCCAGGCCCCAGCCCTGCTCAAGCCACTCCTGGTGGGATGAGGCTGATGGCCCAGCTTTTGCAGACGGGGAGGGATTTAGGTCCCAGGGCACCCGGGACACCACTCCAGGCTCCCAACACGCAGAATCCATAGCTCCCAAAGGCTGCCTCTGCATGTGAATGGTAGATAAGATAGCACTCTGAGATGTGCCCAGCAGCGCCACATTGCGAGCTCTGCTGTGGCGTCTTGAGTTCTGGGTAGACCGAGCCTCGTCTTGTTCTTGGCAGTTCCTCTGCCATGCCCAGAGCAGGGTGGCTGGGGCTGATGCCACAAGAAAGAGGGACAAAAACAGGAAAGACGAGCCAGGGTGACAGGAAGACATGATGGATGGGGCCTATCGCTGTGTGTCAGCTGCTCTTGCCCTTTGTGCTGCTGTGGGCTTCCTTCAGCCTCTGTGACAAGAAAGTCAACCCCACTGTCATTTACAACTTTTTGGTCTTCCATTAAAAGGAAGTGAATGTTCTAAGCTGAAATGAGTTACTCGTGCATCACGCTCGCTCTGGGCCAGGACAGGAGATGTCAAGGGAAAGAGTTATGGTTCTGATGGTTACGTCTGAGGGGAAGAACTGAATCTTGGGTTAAGGTGCTGAAAAGGCAGAAATCAGTTGGTTCTGGAAGAATCCTTGCTTTCTTTTAGTTCTGGTTCGGCACTGTAGGTTTAGAGGGAATCTGCCCTGTTAGGCAGCAGGTAGGCTGAGGTGACGAACTTTCTCTGTTCCCCAAAGGAGAGTGAGCACTTGGCATCTGTCTTCATCATTGCAGCAAATTTTCTTTTATGTGCATACTGCTTCCTTTCTCAGAATGACTTCAGGGTTCACTACAGCAAATATGATTTGCTTTCTCCCAAATTGTCCTCCTTGAAGAAAAGTCCTGCCCTGCTGGGTGGCGTTTCTGTTCTGTGAATGACGTCCAAGTGCCTAGTGAGTCCCCCTTGGGGGGAGGCCCTGCTTGTGCCTGGCCTCAGGGCTTGCGGGCCGGCTCCACCAGCTGCAGCAGAGGCTGAGCACACACTGGATCTGGAAGCATCAGCTCTGTTGTTTAAAGCACATGCTCAGGGCCTGTGTTTTGGATTAAAAAAAAAAAAAGAAGAAAAAAAAAAAGGAAAGGAAAGGAAAACAAAAAAGGAACTCAGGGCTTACTTTGACACTGGGGAAAGCTTTGGGCAAGAATCAGGCTATGTCCCTCCGTCCACCCCAGGCACGCAGTGAGGGGTGATTGCGTGGCAGCTTGAACGTGTATGTCCCTGTCCCAGTTGTTCTGGAAATGTGCTGTTTGTGTGGGCAATCAGAAGACAGCTACTTGGCTACTTCATGTCTTTCTCATGAGATGTGGCCTTCTACACAGCGTCTGTCACATGTGTGTTCTTTGATATTGAGCCTCAGACATCAAGTGCGCTGGGTGCAGGCTGTACCATGGGCTCCATCCACCCTCAGAGCCCTTTCCACCCTCAGAGTACCATCTTCCAAGGGCTTCCAAATCCACATTCTTGGCTGGGTGTAGAACCAGGGTGAGAGGCGGTGTTGGTTCCGTCTTACAAATGTGGATCAGGCAGCTGAGACCAAGCTTAAACACTGACCCTGTCTACCTGGGGCAGCCACAGGCAGGTAGAATCTGGGTGTCCATTTGTTTCTTTTTTTTTTTTTTGGTGGAACCGGGGATTGAACTCAGGCCCTTGCAATTGCCAGGGAAGCACTTATTCCACTGAGCCATCTCCCCGGCCAGTCCATTTGTTTCTTCTGCGGCTTTTTCCCTGGGGCCATACAATGCCCTTACGATGATGGTAGTATTGGCCTGGCTGGTGGGTTATCCTCCTTTGTACTTAGTTGACAAATTGTTTCCATCTCCCCCACCCATGTCTTTCAGCTAGGGATCCTTAGCACCTCCTGGGCTCAGCCACCGGCACAGAAAGTAGCAGCCCTCGTCGGCACATACCAGCATGTGGACCGTGCCACCGGCCAGGTGCTGACGTGCGACAAGTGCCCTGCAGGAACCTATGTCTCGGAGCACTGTACCAACACGAGCCTGCGTGTGTGCAGCAGCTGCCCGGCTGGGACCTTCACCAGGCACGAGAACGGCATTGAGAAATGCCATGACTGTAGCCAGCCGTGCCCAGGGCTGATGGTGGAGAAACTGCCATGCTCTGCCTTGACCGACCGGGAGTGCACCTGCCCCCCTGGCATGTTCCAGTCCAATGCCACCTGTGCCCCCCACACTGTGTGTCCCGTGGGGTGGGGGGTGCGGAAGAAAGGGACCGAGAATGAGGACGTGCGCTGCAGGCCATGTGCGAGGGGCACCTTCTCCGATATGCCTTCCAGCGTGTTGAAGTGCAAAGCCTACACAGACTGCCTGAGCCACAACCTGGTGGTGGTCACGCCGGGGACCAGGGAGGCAGACAACATCTGTGGCCCCCACCTGTCCCTCTATAGCACCACCCTGGCCTCCCTGGACACCGCCAACTCTTCACACTTCAATCCCATGGAATCCCAGGAAGTTCCCTACTCCACCTATGTCCCTGAAGGTAACCTAGCTTGTGACTAAGTAAATCTGGCTTCTTTGAGTATATTGGAAACACTTAATCAAAAGTTTTCTATTAGGAAAAATCAAATAATGTAAAAATGAGGTCATATCAAGTGAGAAAATAAGAACTGAGAGAATAAGGACAGCCTGGGACCTTATGAGTCACTTAGGCTCTTCAGGTCTTGGTTCAAGCTGAGTAAATAAGTGAGTGGGTTGAGCGTTTAAGGTCATTTCAAGATTGAGTTTTCCAACATGGGACCAAGACGGGTGCACACAGCTGAAAGGACAGAAATGGAGAGGAAAGGAGCATGCTGAGTCCAGGGTTGGGCAAAGAACGAGAAAGAGTGAGAAGCCTCAGGAGGCAGAGTGCATTTGTATCCGACCAGCGGTGACCAGCATTAACTAGCGTTCAATTCTGGAAAAGAACAGCCTGATTTTTTTTTTCTCCAGTCATCTTGACTTTCATGCCTTTTATCTGAGGCTTTCCTGAGGTTCCATTTGAACCTTGGGAGAACGCAAAATTGTCGGTTTTCAAATCCTTGTGATTTCCACGAGCCGCTAACCCACGTGAGCTGTGCTTCTTGGGTCCTCTGTGGGCCTTCAGAACTCCCTGTGGGGTGGGGCCTGCCCACACCCGCCATCTTGAAATGAAGAAGCAGGCTCACAGAGCTCAGAGGGCCATTCCAGATTGCCTCAGGGGCTGACACAGGCAGTCCCTTTCGGGGGTCTGGACATTCCTATTTCTTGTTTCCTTAATGAAGACAACTTTTAGAAACTTCTCTGAAGGAAGTCCACCAAGCTGGCAGCCCCAGCTTTGCTTAATCTGTTGAAAACAGCTGTTGAGGAAGTCCTGCCTCGCTGTATTCCCTGAGCTGTGTCTTGTTAGACTTGGGCTCTTGCCTGGGCTCTTTTCTTCATCTTAGTCATAGGGTCTGTTTCATCATTGCCTCGTGAAATGGTCTAAAGGTGAGAGAGGGATGAGGAGGACTGAAGGAATTAAATTTAAGCTAGTTCTGTGGATAACTGGCACCATCAGGTGCTGACTAGAGCACTCTCTGTGCACTCGGTATGTGAGGACAGAAGAAACTCGGGTGGAAGGGCCCACAGGATGCCTTGCTTTTGGTGCAAGAAAGTCAGTTTAGCCATTCATGTTTTATCTTCCGCTCGATGGTGCATTGTGAGGCCTGGTGGAAAGGTACAAGTCACTGGTCTCTTCCACCTGGTCATTTCTTTTTTGATTACCCGGCCTTGTTTAGAGAAGACCAGGGAGAGGAGGGAGTGTGTAGCTTCCTCAATATGGAAAAGCTCTTCTCCCTCCTTTTTTTTTTTTTTTTTTTTTTTTTTTTTCTAGGCATGAACTCAACAGAACCCAACTCTTCCGCCTCTCTTAGACCAAAGGTACCGAGCGGCTTCCAGGGAGTGAAAGTCCCTGACAATACAAGCTCGGCAAAGGGGGATGAAGGCTTGAACAAGACCCTCCCGACCCTCCGGGTGGTCAGCCAGCATCAGGGCGCCCCCCACAGACACATCCTGAAGCTGCTGCCGTCCATGGAGGCCACGGGCAGCGAGAGGTCCAGCACTCCCGCCAAGGGCGCCAAGCGCGGCCATGCGAGGCAGAGCCCACACAGGCACTTCGACATCAACGAGCACCTGCCCTGGATGATCGTACTCTTCCTGCTGCTGGTGCTGGTGGTCATCGTGGTGTGCAGCGTCCGGAAGAGCTCCCGGACGCTCAAGAAGGGGCCCCGACAAGACCCCAGTGCCATCGTGGAGAAGGCGGGGCTAAAGAAGTCCCTGGCCCCGGCCCAGAACCGAGAGAAGTGGATCTACTACTGCAACGGCCATGGTGAGTGTCTCCCTTTTCTCCTTGTTCCCCTAACCCTGCTTGCCAAGGAGCGGTGCATGCGCAGTGAGGGTTTGCTTGCTGCCGGGTCTGCTTGAGTGGTGCGAATGATTGCGACCATCGCATCAGAAATTGTACATCCACAGCTTGTGGCCTCGCCTTCCATCTCTCCCAGCCCCCGTGAGGTAGAGAAGGGTGCTGAATCCCGACAGTGACCTGTGGGACTCTGCCCCGAGCTGTCATTGAACAAATGAGGGAACTGAGCGCAGAGAGAAGCTGGTTGTTGAGGCTGCATGGGGCCGGACTGCTCCTTGCTGACCGCACAGCGTTTCCCCGTGTCACCCAGCGCAGCTTGGTAGCAGTTTGCCTTGTTGTGAGGTTGGAATCCGAACTTTGCTCTTCTGTTCCTGTCATTTTCTCCATGTGTCTGTGTCACCAACATATCGAGGGGGTACTCCCTATCAGGAGGCGTGGGTGTCTTGTGGGTGATCAAGTGCCATACCTTGAGCCCTGTTTGCCTTTTTTGGGTCAATATGTGTTGGTGCAAGCTGGAATATTTTGGTCTTTCCTCTTTTGAGGACAAAAGTGGTTTCTAGAACTGGTCCCAAAGCTGTTTGACCTAAGAACACAGTCCTCTCACGGTGGCAGGAGCTTCCTTCTCGGTACATTCTAAGCGGAAGTCCATGGAGCCCAGCTCTGGCAGGGCCATATTGGTATCTCATTCTACCTACAGATGAAGGTGGGAGCCTACTTTTCTAAAAAGCAGCCTGGCCCCTTTGGCTCATTTTTTTTTTTTTTTTTTTTTCAGAACCGGGGCTTGAACTCAGACCCTTGCACTTGCCAGGGAAGCGCTTATTCTACTGAGCCATCTCCCTGGCCCCTTGGCTCAGTCTTATAGTACTTATGCCACTTAGGCACCCATCAGAAGTGAACTTGACATCAAGCTGTAAGCAGAGGTACTGTAGATAAAAGATATGAGTACAAAGGTCTTAAATATCTAACTCAGCACTATATAAAATAAACACTGGAAATAACCATCGGGCCAGTTTCAGGGAGATAACTAATGGAATATCATGTTGACATTAAATACTGTATGAAGTTTCTTTTCCCCTATTCCTAGGACAATGTTTACTATAGGTAAAGAAACCAAGCTAAATAAACGACATAGTTTATAGAACATAATCCCTGTTCTAGAACAACTGTAGAATAACTACTGAAAGGAAATGCACCACGAAAAGGACAAATTTTTTTTCAGTGTGGTTGGATTCATGTGTAGATTTCTTGCTTCATTCTTTTTCTGTAATTTCCCTAAATGTTCTACAGTAAGTGCATGCGCCTTTTACAGTAAAACATGTAGGCAAAGGTGAAAGCACAAATGTACACGGGCCTGTTGCTTCCCTTGGCTGCGGGCATGAATGGTGCCAAAGTCATGGAACGGTCACTTGGAGGTGAGCGTCCTGCCTGGTCCAGAGCAAGGACAGAGGGACGAGGCGGCTCCACCCTGGTTCCTGGCTGGAGAAAGGATTGGTCCTTTGTTCGCTCTTTTTAATTAAAAACAAACAAAGATGTCTTGTTTGCACATAATTCCAAACTCATAAAAAGTTGTTGAATAGTGCAAAGGATACCTGCATGCCAAGGCCCGGACTGACCTATACACAATGTGCTTTTTCTCTGTCATTTCCTCTTTCTCTTAACATCATACTTACATTTTATACATTAAAATATATACATAGACTAGTTTATCTTCTTTTTAAAATGTATTTAGTACAGGGTCTACAGGGTCTCACTACACACATTGGACTTGCAGTGATTCTCTTGTTTTCGGCCTCCTAAGTGCTGGGATTACAGGCACAAACCACCAGTCTCAGAGTGCCCCTGGGGCGGGGCCAATCTGGCAGGCCAGGAATCGAACCCTGGTCTCTACATCTGCCTAAGCAGGTGCTTTAGACTGCTGAGCTATCTGGCTGGCCCTGTAGATTAGTTTGTTATGCAATACATACACACATATCTAGAGAGAGAGGAAAAAATACATGCATACACACACACATATATATATATATATATATATATGTATATGAATAATTTATCCAAATAATTTCATGCCCTTGCCCCTCAGTACTTCAGTATACATTTCCTAACAATGGTCTCTTGAAAAAACATGAATGGTTTTCAACCTGAATAAATTTAGCATGCACACAATACTTCGCTGCCCGCATTTTACCCCTATTCCGAGTTTACCCCATAAGGCTGGATGGAAAGCACACATTTCCCTGAGTGGAAGATCCAGTCTCAGCCCCGATAGCACCTTCACTCACCCTGAAAGGCTGAGGTCCCGATGCTGGCTTTGCCCTGGGTTTACCTGGTTCCTGGAACTCAGTGTGGGCATCCTGCTGCACTGTGGAAACTCGGAGCTGTCCTGTCTTGTTTATTTTCCTTCCTTCTAGTAGAGCATGTATACATTACATGACTTTCAACTATATGTGTGAACTCTGGCGCTGTCATTTTTGAAATCCGTGGGCACGCAGCAACTTTAGAAAAAGAAATTGGTCAGGCATGAGAGAGCAATTTAATGCCATGACCTTGGGTGTTCTTACAGCTGTTGTCACCAGATGAATGACCCTGCCCTTAAGAGGGGTCCCTCAGCTGAGTATGGAGGTGCACACTTACAGTCTCAGTGCCCTGGAGACAGGAGGATCACTGTGAATTTGAGGCCAGCCTGGGCTTCATACTGCCCGAACTTACATGGGGAGACCCTGTCTCAAAAAGAAAAACTAAGCCAAAAGAAAACCAAAAAGAGACAGGGCTCTATGTTATAAAGGGATGGGTTGCCAAACCCAGCGAGAGCCAGTCGTCCCCGCCATGGCCAGCGCTGCCACCTTGCACCTGCTCGGGTGCCACCCTGCCACCCAGGAGATCAGCCTTCAAGCCAGGTTTTGTTTTGCAGCGCTTATCCTCAGGCTGTTTTCTCTCAGCAAGCTCTTTCCTTTCCAGTTGCTAGCTTCAGAGGTCCCACAGGTAAAATCCTGTGACAAAGAGAGGCTGTGTCTGGTGAGAGCCGCACGCCGCCGAGCCCTGGGAACAATGCGTGCCGATCGGGTGGCTCTGTCCTGGGCAAAGGGAGCGCTTCCTGCTTCTCCTGAGCTCCACACCCAACTGTACACGAGGTCAGGTGGGGACAGACACTCCGATCTCTGAAGTCCCGCAAGACCTTGCTGGTTAGGATGTGCGCTCCCAATTGCTGCACCCGTAGGGGACATCTGGGCCCTTTTCCCACCTGCAGGGAGCTCTCTCCTTACCCAGCCCCCCAGCCCTCTCTGCCTGCCTTGGCTCATAGCTCCGAAGGCTGAAGCACAGAATTACCATCTTGCTATCGATGTGTGCTACGTTTTGGAACAAAGCATTTATTTCTATGTGGTGTGGAGAACCAGGCACCGGGCCTCCTCCTGAGGTCTCAGAGAGGCCGTGTTTTGGTTTCTGGAAAGCCATTTCAACAGGAGTCACAAGTCACTTTAGGATTTTTCTATATGAAACTCTTAACAGTTGGTTATTGGGTCCAGAATTGGCAGGAGGGAGTCTATTGGTAGTGCTCAGATTGTCAGGCTTTTGTGATGTTTTTGGAAATAGATTTCATTTTGCAGTATGACCCTATCATAGTGGGGTAAGTGTAGGTCCAAAAGACATAAGTTTATTTTAAAGTTAAAATAAAATTAATGAGGCTTTGCATACCAGCCAACCCATTGCTCAGAAAGGTTTTTTAAAAATATAATTAAAAAATTTTATTTACTTACTTGGTACAGGGTCTCTCTACGCAGCTCAGACTCATAGTGATTCTCCTGTCTCAGCCTCCCCAGTGCTGGGATTACAGGCCTGTGGCCACACCCACTTTCAGGGCAGCATGGCACACCTGGGGTTCCAGGGCTGACATGGCACGCAGTACCAGGGATCAAAGCCCAGTCCTTGCGCTTGCCAGGCAGGCACTTAGAACACTGAGCTCTCTCCCGAGTCCCGCACTGAGAAATTTGAGGCAGGAGGATTGCTGTGACTTTAAGGCTGTCTTGGCCTACAGAATTCAAGGCTACCCTGGAATTCATAGCAAAACCCTGCATCACAAAAATTAATTTAAAGAACCCAAAAGATTAATGTGGGTTCACCATTAACTGGGAGGTTACATGGAAAATGATTTTTTCATGTATTCTGTTTTGTTGCAAAAAGTGTAGAAGATAATAAAACCTAATCCCTTCCCAGATGGCTGTACACTCTGCTGAGAAAGGACACAATGTCTCAAAGCTGTCCCTTTGTCCTCTCTCTTGTAACCACTGGGGGGGTGGGGGGGGTGACACAGAGCTGCAGCTGCCCCCACCTCCTGTTCTCTACCATTTCTTCTTTTTCCTTCCCTCCCTTCCCTTCCCCCTCCTCCTCTCCCCTCCCCCATTACCCCTTCTCACCTGTCCTCCCCTCCTTCCCTTTCCTTTCCCCCCTCCCCTCCTCTCCCTCCCTTCTCTCCTCCCCT